TGTGATGTTTTTATCAGCTGTTTGGACTCTCATTCTGACGGCACCCATTCACTGCAGAGCATCCACTGCTGAGCAACTGATTCAATGCTACATTTCTACAAATCTGATGAAGAAACAAACTCATCTACATCTTGAATGTCCCAAGGGGCAAATAAAAGTCAGCAATTTTTTTTTTTTTTGCTTGTTTCCCATTTAATTTAATTTAATCTTATTTTGATAGTAAATATTACTTACTTTAGTAATATTTCTACATATGCATGATATGTATCCTTATTTTGCGTTATTCACATTTCTGAGTTAACATATGGGTTTTGTAAACAGACTTTATTTCTAAGAGCTGTTGGTCTGGTAAAGGTGTTCAGAGAGCAAACCCTTGTGGTTGAATGTGAGTAGTACTGTACAGCTTGTCTGAAAAAACTAAATGTAATTACATTCAACTACAGCTAGATGTCGGTACGAAGTCAGATATCCTGAACAACGGATTCACATATTGATCAATAATATAAAATATATAAGTGTGTGATTATAATTCATAATTGACGTGAGTAGTAGCAAAAAATATTTTTGGGCGAGCTGTTCGGGGTCTCTGAGACCCCAGCTAGAACATGATCAAATGCAATAGAGGTGTTACGTGCATTTAGTTTCTGTCTGGTGTTGAGGTTTTCTAAACTATTCTACTGAATCCCAAATAAGTGCACACACACACACACACACACACACACACACACACACAATCAAGTCGATGTAAAGTCAAATACAAGAGTCACGCGAAGCGCCGATTTTTTTCAAAACAGCTTTTTCTTTTTTTTTCAAACCAGCTGTCCCGACCTTCCGATACTGCATGACGCTCGAAGCTTCATCAATCACGTGGTATTGTCATTTCGACACAAGCATCGGCACAGTGTGTCATACAATAGTGCTTTGAAAACTGCGTCGGAGCATCGGAGCCTCGGTATCAATCGTCCCATCACTACTGTCAGACCAGACCAATGGCTTGTTTGATACGGGAGAGCGTGAAGTTAATGTTTGAAGGTGTATGAAGAAGAATGGACTACAATTCAAGAAAAAATCACATCTATTCACTCACTTTTTTAAAGTAATGCAATCTCCAAAATAACCCAAATTGAGATTTGGGAATGATGCAACGCAAATAAAAACCCTTATATTAGAGTTTCTTGGTGTAGATTCCAGCTCTGCTTATTCATTCATCAACCAATTTCTTACATTTTTACATTGATTTTAAACACCACTGACAGAGGAACTCATGCATTTAAAGGCGTTTTGTTAGAAAATTCAAACGTCTTAAGCTCAGGCGGTTTTTACAATCATGAGAAGCGTAAATTCACTCAAGTGCATCCAAATAGTCATGTACTTGGTTCAGAGAGTTTGCATTTAAGTCAAATCTGAAGACTGGATCGATCCATATAAAGATAAAACAGCCATGTTAAGCATTTTTGGTTGGTGTGCAGCTTTTTCCAATAAAGCTGAATCTTTCCTCAAACGTTTATCGGGCAGGTTCAGTTTGTGCTTACGTGATCAGGTTTAATAGTGACACAGTTTGGCTTTTTTTTTGTGGCTTTCTCTGATAACACTTTTTTATTTTCGTTGCGCACAAGTGTTGACAGGGCGTTGGTAACTGTGAAGGGTGTTGCTTCTTACCTCAGGATGTGGTGGTTTCAGAAGGGCCCCCTCCTTTATCTTAGCCCAATATTTACAAGGTGGTATAATACAAAACATGAAGAAAAAAGAAACTAGGTAATTCCACTCTGGTTTATTTTAAACCATTTTGGATGAGAGCGAAGAACTGATGCATAGACAAAAAGGGACAAAATCAGAACGTTTTCACTCTTGATCGGCCACAAGTAAATACAAAAAACTGAATGCTTTCTACCTTTATAAAAAGTTTACTGGTGAAATTAAGAATTTAATGGATCATTGCACATCCAAAATGTTCATGATTGCCAAGCATTCCTTTGTCAGTATTGGGAAAATCAGCGAAATCTAGTAACCCTTCAGATCTTGATTAACTTGTTCAGGGGCCTGTACCATGAAGCCGGATTAGCTGGCTAGCCAGGCAAGTTTCAGATTAGTTTGCGCCAATCCTGGGTTTTAGGTTCTATGAAAGTGGCTTGGCTTTTAGCTGCGTTCATCGCCATAGTAACTTATAACTCCATAGCTGACCTGCTCCAGGGCAGGTTATGTTCTGGGTCAGAGATCTCAAACCGAAATTGAGCCAATCAGATGTGAGCAAAGTGAAACTGACACATCCAAATTCGAAATTGTGTAGCTTTAATGATAATTACTTACAATTATTTTCTATGATTTATATAATTATTTTTATTATTTATACTATTATTAATCCATTACACACAAGCAATTTTAGTTTAACAATTATTATTAAGCGCTTAGTTTAAATGACAGATGATATGTAAAAAATATAATGCTTTAAAACTGACTACATGTGGCCTCACATGTTCGAGTCCATCAGTATACACTGTAAAAAATGACAGTGAATTTAACGGTAAAAGACTGTAAAAATGCTACTGTAAAAACCTGTTAAATGGTTAACTGTAAATTCCCCTACTATATACAATGAAAATTGTATTGGACATTACATGTAATTCTACGGTTGTATACCGTTTTTGGAAGTGATAACCGTAAATTTTGGAAGTGATAAACACGTATAATTTACAGTGAATAACCGTAAATCGACATTCCCAGAATTCCCTGCATTACATTTCAAATTTGATGTTTTTTGTTGAAATAACTGTTTCTTCTTAGTTTTTTCTTATCAGTTTTGTATATTAGGGTTGTGTGTCACACCTAATGTTGTTAAATGAATGTTTATTGCATTATTTCAGTTTCACGTGTGTTACCATGATGGTGTTTAGTGTTTGTGTGAATGACACACTGTGCACCTTCTATATATGTATTAGGTGGTTATCAGTGTATTACAAACGTACAAAACAGATTTCAGTACTTCAATAGGTTGGTATATTAACATTATATCAGTTAATGAAATTATGGTATTTAACTGTAAATGTAAGTTAAAACCATAAAACCTAAAATGTTGCTACCGTATTTTTTACAGTAAAATTCCGGCAACCACAGCTGCTGCTTTTTTCCACTGTAAATTTTGGAATTTTGGACATTACATGTAATTCTACGGTTGTATACCGTTTTTGGAAGTGATAACCGTAAATTTTGGAAGTGATAAACACGTATAATTTACAGTGAATAACCGTAAATCGACATTCCCAGAATTCCCTGCATTACATTTCAAATTTGATGTTTTTTGTTGAAATAACTGTTTCTTCTTAGTTTTTTCTTATCAGTTTTGTATATTAGGGTTGTGTGTCACACCTAATGTTGTTAAATGAATATTTATTGCATTATTTCAGTTTCACGTGTGTTACCATGATGGTGTTTAGTGTTTGTGTGAATGACACACTGTGCACCTTCTATATATGTATTAGGTGGTTATCAGTGTATTACAAACGTACAAAACAGATTTCAGTACTTCAATAGGTTGGTATATTAACATTATATCAGTTAATGAAATTATGGTATTAACTGTAAATGTAAGTTAAAACCATAAAACCTAAAGTGTTGCTACCGTATTTTTTACAGTAAAATTCCGGCAACCACAGCTGCTGCTTTTTTCCACTGTAAATTTTACGGATTTTTTTTACAGTGTATATTATCAACTATATAAACTAACTTCACAAGTATTTTCTTCAGTGTCTTCACATTCTTCAATCCCATAACCTTCAGCAAAAGAGTTTTGAACCTCGCTGTCTCTCTCACGAGAAGTGAATCACAGTTTCTCTATGTTGTAAGGCATGTGATTGGCTGTTCGCCACTGATGTCATATGCACACGCAATAACCCTGAGTTTGTTCAACTTGTTCAATCATAGCTGTGAGGGCCAAATGTCCTCATTTAAATAGTGACAACCTACTAGTGAGGACATTTTACTGGTCCTCGCTGGCTTATAAATCGGCAAAAACATGTTTTTCTTTAAATCCAGCATTTTGTACATGTTTCTGTGTGGCGTAGATTTAGGGGTAGATGTTGGGTTAGGTGATAGAAAGTCTGTGCAATGTCCTCACTAATATAGTGAAACAAACGTGTGTGTGTGTGTGTGTGTGTGTGTGTTTCCACCCAGCTGGATGAGGTGAACTGAAAACAGTAAGGGAGGAGGCCACTTTACTAGGTCACCAGGTCTTCCTGTTTGCTGACTGGCTTCTGAGAAATATCAGTTATAGCAACTTCAAAGCTGTTGTAAGAATATTTCTGTAGCATCTGTTGTATTTAAAGGGTCTTGCAAAATGTTTTCACTACTGCGACACATGCTGACTAGAAACTGGCACAATGACTTCCTGTAGTAGTATTAAATCATTATTGTCCATTTGTTGCACATATAAAATTGTAAATTGTTTAATAATTTGAAGGCATAATAATTTTATGATTTTATTTATATCCTTTTTAATAAAAATTTTTAAAGTGTTGTGGTTTTATTTTATTTTATTTGTTTTAATTTAATTTATTTTTATTACATTTCACTGCATCTTTTTGCAAACAGCATTCACACAGAAGACAGATCTTCCCCAATATGTACTATATTTGTTACCAAACTTTAATGCATGCAATGCAACATGATTTTTCTCACAGCAATCCATGATTTGTACACTTTCTGGGAAGATGTCACAATTGTGCATTTTAGAAAGGTGTAGAAATTGAGAATTTTTGCTTTCTCCATTGGGTGTGTCGAATGTCTGCAAGAAGGCTTCCTTCCTCGTAACTGCATGGTATATAATCGTTCAGAGAGCCAGCGCTCGAGCTTTCTGCATCAGAGCATGGCTCAATACCAGTTACACCAGCATCATTAATAGAAGGTAAGTTAAGATGCACCAGCAAAAAATGTCATTGGTTTTTATTTAAAAATAAATATTGAAAAAAATATTTTTGGGTTTATTCTGAAATATTTAGTAGTAATTTAAACAAAGACGTTTTGCATTTATATTATGTAGCTTTAAAAATATTATATTTATATATAATAATTTTTGCATTTAAATTATTAAACATTAAATTCATTTATTTTAATTTATATTAATTTATTAATTGATTGATTGATTTATTGCAGTTACATTTTGCACTGTCACATGTTGGCTCTTTAAACATGCCACCCTCAAATACCCTCTTAACCACAAGTGCAGTAGTGAAACTAGAGATATTTAAATGTACTTTACACATGCAGAGATTAAATTAGGTCAAGCTCATGATGCGTTTACTTCTAAGACTACATTTTTTTTTTCAGCAGGACGGTCCCCGTAGTGTGAAATCAATTTTAAAGCAAGATGGATTTTTACAACCACATGTTAGCAGGGTGACTTGGTAAAAATGAACATTTGATGACTTTACCAATCGTCATGACCCTCATTTAGCATACACTTGTAAAAATAGGTTCTTTAATTGCATTGATGGTTCCATGAAGAACCTTTAACATTCATGGTGTCTTTCTATTGTGCAAAAGGTTCTTTAAAGTGGAAAAAGGTTTTTTTCTTGGAATTATAAAACGTTCTTCACACTAAGAAGATTATTTTATGAACTGTTCACTGAAAGGTTCTTTGGGGAACCCAAAAATGGTTCTTCTATGGCATTATTGCAAAAAACTATTTTTTTGAAACTTTATTTTTAAGAGTGTATGGAAATTTTAAACTTCAGATTTAGTTCATGAACCCAATAAAAACAAATCAACTGTTTTCCATCAGGTCATCCTGAGAGGGCACAGATATTCCTGAGAAGCCGGAGTCTGATTGCCTGGAGTCCGATTGCATTGAAAACTGAATCGACCCCAGTGAGATTCAACTCCGTGTTCCTGCTTCTCACACCATGGAGGTCCTGCGTTCTTTCAGCTCCGCCTCTTCCTGTCCCGACGTCTACAACTGGACCAGCAGCAGCAGTCTCATCCTGGAGCATTACAACTTCACCGGACGCCTCCACCACCGCAAGCCCTCCAAGAGAAGCGTGAGCGCCATCACCCTCCTGTTCCTGGGCTTCAGTGTCTTCATCATCCTGGAGAACCTCATGGTGCTGCTGGCCGTGCTTTTCCGGGTCCGTCTGCACCATCGTTGGATATTCATCTGCATCGCCAACATCGCACTGAGCGACTTGCTGACGGGATCCGCCTACGTGGTCAACATCTGCATGTCCGGCGACAACACCTTCAAGCTAAGCCCAGTTCTGTGGATATTCCGCGAAGGACTTTTGTTTGTAGCCTTAGCGGCGTCCATATTCAGCCTGCTCTTGATCGCCGTGGAGCGCTACGCCACCATGATGAAGCCCGTCCACCAGAAATCCGCCACAAAGACTTACCGAATCTACATAATGGTGGTGCTCTGCTGGGTAACGGCGCTCGTAATCGGATTCCTTCCGCTGATGGGCTGGAACTGCGTTTGCGACCTGAGAAGTTGCTCCACACTTCTGCCACTCTACTCCAAGAGCTACATCTTGTTCGCCCTGGTCATCTTCTTCATAATCCTGCTCACAATCGGCGCTCTCTATTTCGCCATCTACTGCCACGTCCGCAGTAGCACCGAGACCATATCCGTGCGCAGCCGCAAGCGTTCGCTGCGCCTCCTGAAAGCCGTCATCTCCATCGTTGGAGTCTTCATGGTGTGTTGGGGTCCTTTGTTCATCCTCCTGTTGGTGGACTTCTTCTGCTCCTCTCGTAACTGCAGCACACTCTTCAATCCCGAATGGGTCATCGCCATGGCCGTGCTCAACTCGGCTATGAACCCGCTCCTTTACTCATTCGGCAGCCTGGAGCTGCGCAAAGCCATCGCGACGCTCCTGTGCTGCTGCTGTCTGAAGGTGGGACTGTGCGACCCCAAGACCTTCATGTCCAAGGAGACTTCCAGCACCTCCGGGAGTCGACATAGTAGCCTGCGCAACAGCTTCAGCAAGGTGCGAAACCTGAGCACCAGCCCGCAGCCCGAACCCAAGAACGTCAAGAAAACACGCCTCAGCTCCACCACTTCTTGTTTATCCGCATCGAGCGGTTAAGTCGCGGTGGGCAGGTGTGTTTCTCCTTCGCACAGGAACTGCACCTCCTAAAACACGCCACCGTTGTGGCTTCAGTGCTGTTTCACTCTTTGAGGGTCAAAAGTCAGTAGGTGTGAGTTTCCAAGCTCATAGACAAATGCAGAAAGGACTGTAAAAGTAAGCAGCTGTGCAACAAAAACATAAAAAACATTAAAAAAAAATTTGGAACTTGAATGCATTTCTGTACAACAAAGGAAAGTGACCAGAACTGTAAAATACTAAAATACAAACGGCCTTTTATTGTTGTTTTCTACAAGAATGTACAAGTAATATAAATGTTATAATTTAAAAAAAATCACATTCTACATAAAGGGGATTCTTTAGATTTTATGCATGCACTTTTGAAACTGTTTTAAAGTTTTCAGGGAAATATTTTAAGTGAATAAACTGTAAAAAAATTTTTTAAAGGAAATAAAAAAAACATTGATTCATATTGATAATGCGAGGTTTCTTGAAGATTCTCAGTCATTAACATTCATCGAACACAAGAGGGAGACAATATACAGACTTCTTCAATGCAACATGCTTCAGCACTTCAAAGAGCATTAGGTCTTTTCATTTCAAACACATCAAATTCTGATGAATTATGCATTCAATATTACACAATATACACAAAATAATAATATTCTCTTGCCAAAAGATTCAAAGTTTCAGGTAATGCTTTATATGACACAACTGTGAAATAATACATTCAGATTTATGTAAAATCAGCGTTCAAGACCCCTAAAGTGTGCAAACCACAGCCCTCCATAAATGACATGACAACCCGTCTCAAAACCACCTGGATGATCCAGACAGCTGTTGAAAGAATGCACAGTGAATGGAAGAAATTAAAATATCCACTCCAGAGATGTCCAAAAAGATGTACATGTCCACATAAAAGTAACATTGCCCAAAGAACTGTTATGATTTGCATATTAGCTGTAGTATTTACATACAGTAGATACTTGTGGAACATATACACAAACACTAGACATGCCCCTGATTAGCACACACCTATCATCCGTTTGTGATCCTAATTAATGCAAGCAATGAAATACTTTCTTTAGGCAAAGTCATGTATTAAAACCACAAAGGCCTGTTCACACCAGTGACTATAACTGTAATTATAACGTTTTAATAAGCACTTCTAATTTAATGACAACAGGGAAGTCAACACACTAATTTAGAGTAGCACCATGTTTAATTTTGAACAGGCATGAAAACGAGACTGTGAGAGACTGAAGGACAGTGCGTTCAATGGATTGTACTGCTGTGTAACAACATAACGATTGTTCAGCTGAAGAAATGTCTTTCTGAAAAAATCTTTCGTTAGACAAAAACTCCATAAAAAGTTGTGATTTGTGAAAATGACTTCATCTAAGAGTGGACACCTTTGTATAGTGTGTGCCACTGTAAAGACTGTACGTCAATCCCAGCCTCGCTTTCAAGGGTGTAGAATTTAGTAGGGATGCTATTATAACCCCCTCTCCCCCGGGTCCTCACCGCCACACCTCGTTCTCGTTCCGAGTGGGTATCCGGCATGGGAGGCGGACGCACTAACAAGGAGGCTAAAGACTGCAGCCTCTAGTGCGTCTCTTGAGATCAGGGGAGTGAGGTTTACCTGCACAGCACCTACTCGCTGGCCTCCGTTACACTCACCCCCCTAATCCTCACTCCCATCCGGGTCACGGCACCAATGTAGAGTACTCTCCCCCGGGTCCTCACCGCCACACCTCGTTCTCGTTCCGAGTGGGTCTCCGGCATGGGAGGCGGACGCACTAACAAGGAGGCTAAAGACTGCAGCCTCTAGCGTCAGTCGCTAGTGCGTCTCTTGAGATCAGGGGAGTGAGGTTTACCTGCACAGCACCTACTCGCTGGCCTCCGTTACACTCACCCCCCTAATCCTCACTCCCATCCGGGTCATGGCACCAATGTAGAGTACTCTCCCCCGGGGCCTCACCGCCACACCTCGTTCTCATTCCGAGTGGGTCTCCGGCATGGGAGGCGGACGCACTAACAAGGAGGCTAAAGACTATGACATATGATGTCCCTACCAATATCCAGCGACTACTAAATTGTCCCTAGTTATAATTTTGATCAAACAAGCAAATATGTGTGTAACCACTGTTGTTGTAATTTCGGCCGCCTCTGAAATAGGTCACACCATTGACCATTGTTTTTTTTGCATAACCAGTTTTACTACAAATACTACGGTTAAACTATGGTTAGTGTAGCAAAACCATGGTTAATATGTGGTTACCATAATTTAACTATAATAACCAAGGTTTTTCTCTCTCTCTCTCTCTCTCACAAGGGATGTGTTGACAGGTTTAAAAAAAAAAGTAAAGAAATTTACACCTTAAGAGGACACATAGGATGAAAATAGAGATGCAGTTTTCACTGCTTTAGGATGAACAGAGCTTTAGATAGTTTCCATATACTTGTCTACATCAACTTTGAATAAAGATAAGAGAGGTTTAGAGCTTTGTGAATGTGAAATGTTTATGTATGTGAAATTTGGCAAGCAGGAAACAAATTATTTCATTTATATTTTCCTATAATCTCTTTTGAGTACTCAAACAATCCAAAGAAGACATATTTAAAACAGAAAGAAAAGTCACTTTCAAAATGAGATTGGATGAACATAAAAAAATCTAGACAAAATTTCTCTGTGTGGGTACATTGGCAAAACAATGAATGATATCTTCCTCAGAAGAGACAAAAACACCAACTCACTTCAGTGTTTGACTATAAATAGTCTAATTATGTCCATAAGTTATTTGTGAAATTTGGTGTAACTCGTTAATCTGTTGTTTGACCTCTTCATATTTAAGGAGAGAACTATATTTATTGTCAGTTGCTGCAGGGGTTAATATATTATCATTCGTGGTGTGAACTTGCCTTATGAGAGAGAGCCGTCACGCACCGCAAACACGTTCCTGAGATGATTACAGTTTAGTTTATGACTGCATCATGACGTCTTGAAGGAAATATGGATTTATGTTCTTCTCTTTATAGAGGCCACGAAGGGTTAACTGCGGTTGCGTGCAGACAGAGCGTCCCGCCCTGCGTGATTACAGCGCGTCGCCTCCAGACAGATAATGGTGAAGTTCTCAGAGGGTCCTAGGATGAATGCAGTTCATTGGTTTCTGCACATTTGTAGCTGGTTAGCAATTCAAACCATTTCGGAGTCCATGCAAATGAGTTCAACATTTCTGTTAATTGACAACTCGGAGCAGAAATAAAGACGAACACAACGTTCTCATTGTCTAGTGTCTCATTTAATTAAGAGAAACATGTTGTTTTGGCTTCTTGGGGGAAAAAAATAAAACATCTCCAGAAATCAGATGCAAAGAACAGATTAGATAAATGTGTTCCCTGCTTATTATGGTGATTTGCATAGCCTATAATTTCACTGTGATATAAATTTGGCTCTAGGCAGCATAAACAGGATTCTTCCCTTTAGGACAAGAGTCTGCCGAACAAGAAATTAAGCATGTGTTTATCGTTATTCAGTTGCTACATGATTTAACTTGAGAAATGCTCAAGAGATGTTGAGGATAAAATGAACCCAGTCGTTGCTTGAGAAAACAAAGTAGTGTCTGCATGCTGATTGGAGGAGAGGAAAACATGCTACATGCTGATTGGAGGAGAGTTCATCTGTGGCATGAGGACCTCACAGACATTCATGTGGTGTCAACATGTCTTTAAATTAATTTTAATAAATATGTGACAAACTATTACTTCCAGCACAGATGCTCTAGATTGTGATCCAGAAGGATCTATGGACGCCCGGTACCGTGGGTTTTTTCACGCGGCTTTGCTGCTTTATTGCACAGCTGGTCTTGTTCAAGTTAAACCAATTATAAAGCGCACAGCTCTGGTCTGGACCGCAAACACACTGACTACATGGTGGCGCAGGGAGCAAAACAATATCAAACAACTTATGGAGGCCACGTCAGGAAAAAGACTGCAGCCTCTAGCGTCAGTCGCTAGTGCGTCTCTTGAGATCAGGGGAGTGAGGTTTACCTGCACAGCACCTACTCGCTGGCCTCCGTTACACTCACCCCCCTAATCCTCACTCCCATCCGGGTCATGGCACCAATGTAGAGTACTCTCCCCCGGGGCCTCACCGCCACACCTCGTTCTCATTCCGAGTGGGTCTCCGGCATGGGAGGCGGACGCACTAACAAGGAGGCTAAAGACTATGACATATGATGTCCCTACCAATATCCAGCGACTACTAAATTGTCCCTAGTTATAATTTTGATCAAACAAGCAAATATGTGTGTAACCACTGTTGTTGTAATTTCGGCCGCCTCTGAAATAGGTCACACCATTGACCATTGTTTTTTTTGCATAACCAGTTTTACTACAAATACTACGGTTAAACTATGGTTAGTGTAGCAAAACCATGGTTAATATGTGGTTACCATAATTTAACTATAATAACCAAGGTTTTTCTCTCTCTCTCTCTCTCACAAGGGATGTGTTGACAGGTTTAAAAAAAAAAGTAAAGAAATTTACACCTTAAGAGGACACATAGGATGAAAATAGAGATGCAGTTTTCACTGCTTTAGGATGAACAGAGCTTTAGATAGTTTCCATATACTTGTCTACATCAACTTTGAATAAAGATAAGAGAGGTTTAGAGCTTTGTGAATGTGAAATGTTTATGTATGTGAAATTTGGCAAGCAGGAAACAAATTATTTCATTTATATTTTCCTATAATCTCTTTTGAGTACTCAAACAATCCAAAGAAGACATATTTAAAACAGAAAGAAAAGTCACTTTCAAAATGAGATTGGATGAACAAAAAAATCTGGACAAAATTTCTCTGTGTGGGTACATTGGCAAAACAATGAATGACATCTTCCTCAGAAGAGACAAAAACACCAACTCACTTCAGTGTTTGACTATAAATAGTCTAATTATGTCCATAAGTTATTTGTGAAATTTGGTGTAACTCGTTAATCTGT